TTTCTCTCTTCATTCCTCCTTTTCTCACCTTCCTCTCACTTTTTGTGTTCCCTCTCATTTTTCCTCCTTGTCTCCACCTGTCTTTCACACATGCTAACAATTACACATGAAGGACAAATTGTTCTGACTTGGGAATATAAAGCTGTTGGAGTCACCTCAGCTCACCTGCTGAGAGCTGCAGTTATTGATGTTGTTGTTTGGGAGCTTGGCAACAGCAGCACAGTGCATCAGAGTAAGGATAGAGCCCTGTTCCTTTTTAATCTCAGTTATCTGTTTATGTACTTGTATGTCTCACACCCTGTGTATTTGCCTGTCAGTGTGTATTTGTGTTGTCTGTACATGTCTGTTTCTTTCTGCGTCTCATAAAACACACTACTCTTATTTTTACAGTGTGTCTTGTTGACCCGGAACAATGAGTTCCTTCATGGTGTGCAATGACGGCAGCAGTACCCACCAGCTGGGCAACCAGGTACTTCTCTCTGACAGGGGCGCAGCTTTTAATGAACACTGCGCCAGACCAGCGGAAAGTCCCTGCAGAGACACAGCTCTGGATAACAGAGAGCAGTAGGCCTCCAGAGTAGGCAGTCAAGCATCCTGCAATCCTGAGGGCTAACAACAAGGACATATACACAACATGAGTACAGTGAATCCAAGGGAAAAGACACATACAGTACAAAATAATTTAAAGTGAACCACTTTGCAGCATGCAGCTTTTCCAGTCACACAGCACTCAGAAATACAGTGATGACTGTCAAGTCAAGAGAAATAAGAACTCAAAAATGCATACACTCAGCCTTCATCACAGGCTCACATGACCAAAGTAGACCTGACCAAAGGACTAAATCAGGGTGTGCAGTGAAAACTTGTGGTTTTTCATGGACACAGGAAGCTAGTTTTCCTACACTGGAATGCCTCATCTGGCAGAAAAAAAAGTTAAATGTGGGAATGATTCCAACATCTTGAAACAAATTACACTTCTGTAGCCTGCAAAGATGTTAAATATTTCCAACAAATAGAAAAAAAAGTACAAACAAAAACAAAAACAGATGTAATATGTGCATGTTTTTTTACCTTGAAAGCCTAAAATGTAACTTAATTTTTACCTTTGAACAGAACAAAAATGTATTAAATTGGCATAGTTTTTATTCATTGTTTCATTTCAGATCGATATTTATCTTCAAATCTGCACAGCTACATAAAACAGTTGAATTTCTGTCTTTGTTTGAGAATAGGCCTACTATATATTATATTATGAATTCTGCAACTATCTGAATACAATAGAGGTGAGAGAAGTTTTGTTTACTGGTTGAAAATGATTTTTGTGTGTGATTTGAGCGAACTGACTCTTTAAATGCTACTCTATACTTATTCCTCTATTTCTACACAATTATAATGGTGGAGTGAATGCCCATTTTTTTCAGTCCAGTGGCAGACTGACTGGATCCAGGTCAAAGCTATCTTCCATCACTGGTTTTACACTATATGTTTGGTCTGCTTCTTTCAGGAGAAATCTAAGTTGATATAGAAGAGTAGACGCTCTGCAGAGATGTTTCTAAATCTGCAGTTTTACACAAGGAGGATGAATCATAGGTTATATTTGTTACCTACTGTGGGAGAGCGGTGTGAGAACATGCACAAACTTGAGCATGAAGAAATTCAAAACTGCAGCATGCATACATACTGTAGATACAGATGCCTGGACACACACAGAGAAGTAGTGTGAAGTGTAGTATCACTGGTGATGGTGCGATGTCTTTCTTCTGTTCCTTGTCTTGGTGCTTGTGCTGTCGCCTGTGTAGCCTGAGTGGGTGCCACCCACCCACCCATCTGTGCCCATTGGGGCCTTCGAGCCCAGAGTCCATCTGGCATCTTCCGCTGTGTCTGTCGAGTTGTCACCTACGACAACCACTGTTAAATTTGTGCTTGCACTTTTGTTCAGAGAGTAACACAGAAGAAATCTTTGACTGCACTGATCTCAGCTGAAGGGTTTACATGACAAACGTACTTACTGAAAATACATTCACAAAGAACGTAATCATTTAATTCATAAGCTTCAAAGTTCCTGAAGGAGAAACACACTTTCCCAGGTATCACAGTGTTTTGAAAGGTGTCAAAAAGCTTCAAAATACAATAGTAAATATTACAGCATCTCCACTGGAACACCTTCCCAGATCTACAGATCTTTTACTAAGTTTGCATTACAAAATAATCCTTTGATGTTTAGAGCTATTGACAGTTATTAATATATTTTGCAAATCTTAAATTTTAAGACAATGAAAAGCCAATTATGAAAAAAGCAGCCCTAAACTCTCACTAAGTTATGGTTTGATGTACTTAGACTCAAAGTAAAGAAATAATTACAAAATGTAAACATGGGGGGAAATCTTTATTATAGTAAAATGACATTTATTTTAGCACTATTTTAACACATCCCTACCAACCAGTGGAACCTTTCTAGGGTTGAACAAAGTGGCAGTAATGGATGATATTAACTAGCCAGTTACATCAAACTTCAACAGAATGAGACAATAATGTGACATATGCCCTACTATGTTTAATGAGGATTTAACGGTGAGAGTAGATGAGGCCTCACTATAGTCTTCAGTCTGAGCAGAAGGGACATTGATGAAGACAAGTTGCTGGTCATTTGCATGTCAAAAAACCTGGAGACATAAAGAAAAATGAGGATTACCAGGGATGCAATAAAAACAAAACAGATGTCAAAATATTGGGTCTGACACCAGGGATCATTTATAGCTCTTTATTTTATTACAGGGTAGTGCGGGGGTGCCCGTAAGGAGTTAAGTTTTTATTTGATTAAAAGAGGAGTCTTCATCTATATTATGCTCCACTGAAAGCTCAGTAATCAAGCTTTATGTACTGAGTTACAGCATTAAAGGAATAATTCAACACTAATGGAATTGCACTATCAGTCAAAATGTTTGGACACACTTTCCTACTTAATTCAATGGAAAAGTGTGTCCAAGCCTTTGTGTCCAACCTTTTTTGTTTTGCCACGAGTTATATGAGATTATATAATTTTTGTATCTGTATGGTAAATTATCATACCTCTAACGTGTGCCAATTAACACAATGTATCTTTTTTAAAATCCATACAAAAACCGAAGAGTAAAAATGACAAAGTATGAGTTATGCGCTGGCCTATTTCTAGATCAAAACGAGTTGTCAGGCCACCAGCTGAGGGAAATGCCAGGAAGTTTCTGGTCTTGACATAGAAAGAGTATGATACATAACCCCCAAAATGAATTAAAATGGGCTAGCTGTTTCACTATTTCCAGTCTTCATGTTAAATGAAGCCAACCTCATGTAAAATTTTAACCGTACAGATAAGAAAGTGGTATCAGTCTTCTCATCTAATGCTCAACAAAAAGGCTAATAAGTGTATTTTCCAAAATGTTGAACTGTTCCTTTACAACAAATTTTCAGCTTTAAATTTACATTCAGATATTTCTATAAAAAGCTTTTTTTTAAATTTTAAAACTCTGTTCACTCTTCAAAAGCACTGACATATTCAGTGAATGTAGTCAGAATAATACTGAATTGCTGCTTAAAATACTGCTAAATGTAGTTAAATGCTGCTTTAAGTAAATCAAACCCTTCATCGTGAATCTTTGAGACAATTTTGGGACCAGCTGTCTTAGAAAATCTTCATTTGCCCAGATGTCTCCAATCTCGTTGAACTGGAAGCAGCCTATTGAGGAAAACTGGACACATAAACTCTGGGTGGTTGGTTGAGCTATTGTTTTTTATTTAAGGATTTTAAGTGTAAGGTCTACAAATTATGCTTCCTATGAACAGCTGTGTTGTGTAAGGTCGTCTGTATCTACCACCTAATACATATATAATTTGTCATTTACAGTCTCAACACTATATGTTCCTTGTTATCAAAGCTTTAGTAAATCTGCTTGAAAATATTATAGTTAAGCTAATGGCACTGACTCACCAGAGGGGGCAGCACCTCCACAGAAAAAAAACAATGATCCCAAACAGTCTTTTTCTTAAACCCTTCAGATACAGTACACACATAGCCACTGTATACACATGCACAGACACACCACGTCATCAGCCTCTGTTACTCAGGGAATGGCCTTTTATTGTAAGATAGGTAGGCAGGCATAAAATGGAAAAGCAATTATATTTTGGAGGCTGCATGTAAGTGTGTGATGATGCTTAATCTCCCCACTCCTTCCCCTGTCATGCCAGCATCACTCCCTCTCCTCTTCTTGGCTCCTGAGACACACCTGTCTCTTATTAGCCCCATGGTTGCTGCAGGTAGTCACCATGTTAATGACTCCTGTTTCTCCTCAGCCACGCCAACAGTTGTGTCACAATGTTATTGTTATAGGCCGTGTAAATGAACCATGTGCTCTATTTGTATACTAGCTTTGCCAGGCCTCCCAAGGGAATGTTGTCATGGAGATGGAAAATATTGGCTGGACTTCATTTACCAACTATCATGTAGAGTATATTGTAATGTCCCTGAAATATGAGCTCTCTAAACATTGTTTTTCACTTGACAATTTACTTTGGAATTAAATGATCAAAACACCAGACTTATTTCTGTACATAAAAATGGGAGTTTAATTGAAATGTTTGTATTACAAAATAGCTATCTATTCTTCACAGCCATAAATGACACAGCTAAATTGAAAGGTCTCCAAGATTAGGCTATGTGACACCTTTGAAAGTTGTTTAGGTTCCACACAACTTAGATTAACCTCGACAGTATGAAAATCAGATGGATTTCTCTAATACTTAAGCCATTCAACATTGCCAGACCTTTTTAAAAGCAGTTAAATAACATTCAGATACTCTTTTCAAATTTAAGTGTTTTATTCTTCTTTGTATCAATAATTGCTTCAGTGCATCCTCCAAATCTCACAAAACAGTTGAAATGTAAAAATAAGTTATAGGAATGCAAACCAAAGGCCAACTAGGAAATGCAATCTTTCGGAGGGGGGGGGGAAAAAAATTTACAATAAATAAATAAATAGCCACAGTGTGGAATGTCTACATGTTAAATAAATTAATGCAAATGGGCAGAAAAAAATGTACACACACAAATAGAGAAAAAAAATGCTGTACAATATTTGTTAGAAAACAAATCATAATTGAGTCCATGAATATTGCATTGATTGTGCATTTCACACCCCAAACCCTGAGGGAGCTCAGGGGTGGGGGCTGTGTAGTGTCAAGCAGTGAGATGGTGGGAGATAAAACGAAAAGGTAAGTCAAGAGGGCCACACACCCCACAAAAAGCATATATATGTGTGTGTGTGTGTGTGTGTGTGTGTGTGTGTGTGGTGGGGGGGGGAAATTGACATTTTGTAGACATTTGGAAAACAGATTCCGTTTCCAAACACCTGTTCAGGCATTAGAGTGAATGAGTGAGCAGCGTTAAAAGAGAGCAACACAGAATTGAGTCGTGTGTTTCAAGTATTCCATTGTCAGGAAGAGCCCCCACCACCTTCTCCTGCCTAATGCTATTGTAGCCTCTTGACTGAGGGCTAGTTGGCTCACAGTGATGGAGAGGAGGGGAATAAAAAATAAAAAAACAAAGTCTAAACCCCTCCTTCTATCACAGCACAGGCAACTTAGCCTTGCTGTGGGCATTTCCAAAAACAGGGCTGTTGACAAAAGCCACCAGAAAAGCAGCTTTCCAAACAAAGGCACTCCATAATCAAAATTTAAACATTTAAATAAAAAGGTTTTTCTCCTAGCTCTATGAGAGCAGCTGTGACTGAATCGGAGGGCCTTGCCTGCATATACCAGCCTAGTATCAAAATAGGTAAAACAAAATTAAAAATGGGGTAAAATAAATAGTGCTGGTAAGACCGCCCAAACAGCAAAGTGTTCCCTATTAGGAAACAGGTAAATTCAACAAATAAAAAAGGAATGGGGCAATAAAGTAAGGAAGAACAGTAATAAATTAGAAATTCCCTACAAAAAAGGAAAATTATAGTACATTTTTCTTGCCAGACCAGATGAGTCACATGCCCAGCCACAGAGGGGCAAGCTGGGCTACAGACTGCTGGCCATATCAGTCACTCCATCCACACCCCTTCTTTCCCCAGGAAGTCTTTTCAGTCCATCAGAGCCGTCCTCAGAGGCTCTCTTTACTCGAACTTGTGCTTGATGAAGAGTCTGTGTCAATGGTCCTGAGGCGGATGTCACCAGCGACCGGCTCCTCTGGTGTCTTGGCTGACTCGGCCGTTGCCCTCATCCAGGGGTGGTCACAAATCTGCTCCAGGGTCGGTCGGTCTGAGGGCCGTAGGGCCAGGCACCATTTGATCAGCTGCTGGCACTCTGAAGGACAAGATAGAAACAACACTGAGGATAAGAGGCTCTGAACTCAAAGAGAGAAACTACAAACTGGGTTTTGTCTGCACTGCACATGACTCAGTTTATATAGATTTACATTACTGTAAGTGTGTAGGCAACACAGCCAGCCAGTGAAAAGAGAGTGCACATCCTTTTTTGAGTTAGCTCTTAACTATTAACTTAATTCATGCTTGATAAATTTGCCAACCAGCCAGTTAAGCAGGTAATCTATTCTGATTGTAAACTGACCCATAATACAGTCAAACCGGGAGATGGATTTCAGGCTGTACCTGATACTGTTGCTAGAGGGAACAGGGCCACCTTGCATTATGTGGATTGCTGTAGTTGACTTACCAGCTGAAATCCTCCTCCTGAAGTACAGTCTTCCTCTGAGGATTTCCTCGTCCTGCTCAAAGGGGATGTCTCCACACACCATGTCATACAGCAGCACACCCAGCGACCACACAGTAGCTGAGCGTCCATGGTATCTGTGGAAGCGAATCCACTCTGGTGGGCTGTACACTCTTGTACCTTAAAATGAGAGAGAGAGAGGAGAGAAAGATAAATGATAAGCTTGTGTGTTATGAAACAAAGAGAAGAGTGCGAGGATGAGACAGGAATATAAAAGGGTATCAGTGCTCAAAATATAGGAATAGACTCAATATAAAAATGAATGAATAAATAAATAAATAGTGTTCCTGTGTCTAAAATGGCTGAGTCATAGCAGAAATGCTTTCCATCGTCCTTTGGCCACGAAAACTGGTTGACCTGCCTGTGTCTCCTCCCTCCTTTTCCTCCCTCCTCCCCCTCCCTCACTGAAGGGAGGATCTTGGTTACCAAACAAAACATAATAAAGGGCAATGTGAGCCTATCACGTGAAGCACTGTCTCAGGTTTCACAACAAACAGATGTTACGTGGCACTGACCTAATACCCACAAACTGACTATGAGTCAAGCTTGACTACAAAATAACAGCCGGAAAACATAAACATAGACCCCATCTCACAAAATGTCACCAAAAGTATTGATAAAGTGTGAGTCATATCTGTGAATCCATCAAATGCGCGTCATACACCCGCACAACAGTAGAAGACCTTCATTTGGCTGTAACGATTTTCATCCGTAATAGTGATAAGCCCGAAAAACCTAGGCGAGGAAAGCCCTCGACCAAAAACAGATCACTGCGTCACAGGCTCGTGACCGCCTCCATGTCTCAATATAGCATAGCTGAGCATCAAGGGCAAAACAAGCCAGCCCACACTGGTATGTATTCATAAAGACTCATTTCAGATCCAGCATTGTAACATCTTAGAATGGCCATTAATGGAATAAGAGGGGTGGGGGCGCCTGCTTACCATCGAAATCGGTGTAGACTGTGTCCTTGAGAATCGCCCCTGAGCCAAAGTCAATAAGCTTGAGCTCCCCGGTGCGTAGATCCACAAGCAGGTTTTCATCTTTGATGTCTCTGTGTACTACGCCGCAGCTGTAGCAGTGTCTGACGGCCTCCAAAACCTGTCGGAAAAAGCCCCGCGCTGTGTCCTCGTCCAAGGCGCCCTTCTCTGTGATAAAGTCGAAAAGATCCTTGACGAGTTCCGGCCTCTCCATAACGATCAGCCAGCCGTCCGCCCGCTCGTAATAGTCCAGCAATTTGATAACTCCGCGAAACGACGAGCTGACCTTCTTCAGTAGCAGGATTTCCAAAGGCACCATAGCTCCGTTCTGGAATAAAAAGTTGATATTTAATTTGATTGTTGGATAACACACAGCAGTAACAACACATCACCCTCAACCAGCAGCACCGGGGTGGGGGTGGCAAAATAAAAACACAACACAGGTCGGGGACTACTTACAATTGCACCCCACTCGGTTACCCTCTCCTTTGCAACATGTTTCACGGCAACCTGAAATAACACAGCAAAGATGAAATATGTTAAGCACATGTCTCAAATACTGCAAGGTCAGCCTAAATTAGGCTATATTTCCAAGTGGCTAGTTAAAAGAGCCCGGCTTTGATAGCCCCGATCCCCCACCCGCCTTCTTACCGGTGCGCCATCAGAGATCCGGCTGCCGGCGTACACTGTCCCAAATCCTCCGCTGCCCAGCACGGAGCCCACTTGGTAAACCTTTTCGAACGGCTCCTTTTCCACTTTGACTGCAAGTTAAGAGTGAAAAATGTTAAGCTACGCGTAACATTTCCACAACAAACCACCGCTTATTGTCGTTTACTGGTTCGTCAGCTTTACGAGCCGGTCAGCCTCAACAGCAGGAGCTTACTTTAAATTAATCAAGCGGGGTATAGCTGTGTTCAGTTAGATTCAATCCAATGACAGTTAACGTAGCGCCCATAAAGAGGAACCTACCCGACTGGAGCTGTATTTTCACGGGTAGATGGTCCATGCTCGAAGGATTGCAAATATGCGAAAATGAACCAAACTTTGACAGCAACATATTCGAGGTGAAAAGCTGGCGTAGACGAGCCCTATTCACCCGCTGAGGGTCAGGAGTACAAATACAGTATGAGCAGAAGTTAAATCAGGCGCAGTATAAATGATGGCGCGGACCGTCTTGGCTGCCAATATATCCAGTCCAGCAGTGCGCCAACTCCGCCACACCGCGCCCGTTCAAGTAGTGTCACGACCGTGAAGTCGTATAGCCTTTCCCGAAAACCGGCATTCAATCTGACGCTTGTGTCTTGACTCAAGCAACTCCACCAAAAACAGTCCTACTAGGTAATTAAAAAGAAAACCGAACACTCCGATGTGCGTGATAACGGTCTCAGCAGCAGAGTGCGTTTAAAAGCCCTCTGCAGCTCATTGTTATTCCGAAGAGTAGTCGCTGTCTGAGCTTTGGCGCGGTCTTCCCAAGCCAATATTTTGACGCGGAGTTGGATGGTGGTATCCCTCCGCCAGCAGCACAAGTCGACCCTTCTTTTTAATTACCTCGATAAATCGCCATGTTTTAACAACATAACAATTTAAAACACAACAAGCGGACAGCTGTCGTAATTTTATTACGCTTTCATGCCAAATTATAATGGAAACAATGCTTTTCACGTCGGCCTACTTTGTCATAGTACGAGACGCTCAAGAATCCCTTGTCTGGAAGCTTTGCGCTGTGTTCACTATCGACTCTGAAGACTGTGACCAATCAGATGTCGCATATAAAAGCAGTGTTTCGTCTCTGGGCCAATCCAGAAAAAAGCCCTTGTAATAAAACCTCGTTTGAGCTCATGTGGCGGTAATTCTGTACCTTCATCTACTCTCCCTGTTCCTCTGCAGCTATGCAGTGACAGGCAGCTTATGGCTGTGATGTTCCAGTTTTGTAATTCACCACAAACGACTGATGACCATTTTCAGCTGTTCGTAGTGATCCAGTGTGTACTCATTGTCACGTGTGTTATTTTTTTGTTTATGCTTTGTTTACTTTCCGAATTCCCAACATTTAAAATCGAGTAGTTTGTTATTATTCTGATACAATTGAAACCAGTAATGATTTAAAGATCTAAATAATAATAATAATAATTTTGTTAATCTTTGTTTAACCAGGAAAACCTCATTAAATATATACCTATATAAGTAGGCTAAAATTAGTAGCATACAACTGAAATATTAAAAGATATTTTAAAGATGGATAGGCAGGAATAACAATGTTTTATAGATAAGAAACATAAGACAGATAAAATAAAAAATAACAATCATAAAGTATAAACCTAATGAAGCTAACACATCTAAATTTTAATACAGCCCCAAACATTAGCAGCCTTAAAACACAACACACTGCATGTTGTTGGATTTGCATTATATTCCCAACAGTTAAACATGAGTGTATATAGGGATTACATTATACACAGTCTATATATGAAGGATGATACATAATGATACACTACACTATGTCATGCACTGACATAAGCATGAAAACAAAACTTCTTAATATAATAACAAGAATGGCACAGGAGAACACTATCAGATGGCCAAGGTTTGTCAGCCCAGCTGTCCCATTTCATAGAGTAAACTTTCCAGTTCTTCTGTTACACATCTGACATGACCTTGGCTGTTGAACTTTCCACTTTTTATCTTCTGCTGCCTCTGATAACCTGTGTGTGTAGCTTATGTGTGTGACCGCTAACCAAACAGAAGCATCAGAATTCCAGGGAACCTTATCTTGCTATTGGCCTGCCGACTGCAAAGTTATGTAAATATGAACACACTCAGTGTGTTTTCACACTTGGCCCCTTTTAAATGAACCAAACTCAGTCCTCTTTAAAGTGGATCAAAAAGAAGACCGACATAAAAGGGACTTCTTATTGTGTTCTCACTGTGAGTACATTTGAAAGAGGACTCAGTTCTCTATCTGGTCCACTTCAGCTCTGATGGGATTTATGTGTTCTTTGTTCCATATCTGGAGAAGTGCGATAGTTTGTTCCTTGCACCAAACTACTCATCAATATCAGTATCAATAAGATTTTTAATCGTAATACTACTACTTCTGTTTATTAATCTGGTACTTTATCAGTTGTTTTTGTTATTTTTAAGTAAAAAAAAATTAAGAAGTGTTAACATTGCTTTATATCTTATTTTCTTATATTTACCGTTATCATTCTTGAATAGCAAATTGCAACAATGCTGTTTTGAACAAACCACTAGACTATAATGTGTTTATAAAAAACAAACCAAAAAATAAAAACAAACAAACAAAAACCAAACACGACTTGTAAATTGACAGTACTTTTACTGCGAGGTGTCTCCAGCTCCGAAATCATTATATCCGCTCCAGCCAAGTGAAACTAAACTTCTGAACAACAGTTTGCATGATGCTTTCACCATTGCAGATTGAATATATGAACAGACCCACAACAGTCAGCTGCCTAATGGTTATTTTTAATCGTTAACCCATATTCATATAATTTAGTTAACTCTGTGCGCAGGCTCAAGGCTGCTTAAATAAATAACATACATGGGCAAGAAGAGAAACTAAAAACTAGTCAGTGGAAAACTGCATTTCTCGGTGATGTGATGAATAGATATTTCAACAGATTGCTAGTATGTCCACCCTTACATGCAGAAGACTAGAAGCGAACCTGGAGTGCTTTGTGTTCATAGTGCAGAGGCGAACCGCATCACGCACTTGAAATGAACCGAACTGAGATCACCTTCCAAGGGCTTCTTCGTTTCAGAGGGGTCTGAGCTCATCTGTAGTGTTCAAATTTACGCAAAAATGCTGACATATTGCTCTGAGTTCATTTTGACAGCTGAAAGGGACCAAGTGTGAAAACACCATACTGTATATGAGCATAACAGCCTCTAGGCCACCCTGCAGTGAGGCTCTATTTACTGTATGATAATCTACACTGCGTCATACTACACTGACACTCAAACATGTTGAGTCAAATATCGAATGTGTACTATCAACATATTAGTGCATGGCTTTATGCTATTATTAAGCATAACAACAATGAGTGGACACTATATATTTAAAAGCCTTTGTGTTCATGAAAATGTGTTAAAAGGGCACAAGCATACAGACATGCTGCATTTGCATTTTAATGGATATAGTATGTGCATGCAGATTGTGTGGGGGCATGGAGAAGAACCTCAAGGGTTAATCTTCTCTTATCTTATAAAACATTAGCATGCATTACAAAGAGTTCAATGCTTTACTGGATTGTGCTTCAAAAATGTGTTCATCCCTGCAGCAGTGTTTGTAACAACCCATTCCCTGCAGGAACACCTTCCACTTTTGTGTCATTCTGTTGTCATGAGTTTATTTTAAGAGGCTCTAAGCTCTAAGCCATGTAGTTATTGCTTGAAATACTGTAGATTTTTGAAAAGCTTTTAGTCTAAAGTTCTTTCAAATGCAAAATCTCTTTTAATTTCTATGTGTAATTCACCAGTGTTTCGATGTTTCCTCCCACAGTCTAAAGAGATCAGCTCAGATGAACTGGAATTACTAAATTGCCTGCTGTTATAAATTCGAATGAGTTTTTGTGTCTACACTTCTTACCTAAAACCCATCTCACCTCATTTGCATCTTGCAGTGTCACTCAACATTATATCACACTGGCAGCAGAGAAGGGTACTCTGTAGAGAAACCAATGAAAAATGGCTTGTATTTGTCATTATTCACTGTAAGTAGATGCAACAGGTGGACTGACAGAATATTCACAATAACCCCCAATATGTCCTCTATGCAAGTGTGTAAAGGAAGCTGGAATGACCAGTTGTAGTGGCATGAATGGTATTCAGTGTCAGTCCCATGATAGATCGATGTCCTATCCAGGATGTTTCCTCCCTTTTACCTTGTGCATGGAAGGGTTCCAGAAATTATTTGATCTTGGATTTGAAAATAATGATCCTATAGTTGGATACAAATCATCATTACTTCTATTCCCATTTGTTCTGCATGAAGTGCCACTATATACAACTATTACTATAGCACCTTTTAACATGGTGAAATAAAGTTCATAACTGGAGAAAGTGCCAAGACAAAGTGTGAAACCTTTGGATGTAAAGTAGTTCTGTCCTCTTCTTCTCTCTTCACCTTACACGCCCTCTACATGGCACCTTAGGCAAACTATAAGCACACTCACTTAAACACACACACACACCAAATAACTCACAATATGAAGCTGTCATTTTCAAGTATTTCATTACATTATTGTATTCAAGTTTAGGCATTGGCATTGCCCAGAACAAGGACTAGTCATGTTAGAAACTATACATGTTAATAATATTTTTTTCTTTCTCTCTCTCTTGGCAGTGTGAGGAGCAAGTGAGGCAGCCAGGCAATTGGCCAACCAAGCGTGCTGACAGCAGAAGCACAGACAGCTGTTTTGCTATGGTTTCAAATGAACGTGTGTTCTACAGTTGTTCACAGCTCTCATGGGAAATCATCATCAGGGCTTTTTATATATGTTCACCAATCCTTTGATCCATGAATGTAGAGAAAATGACAAACAGAGGGAGCAATGAAAGCAAAAAAAAAAAAAAAAAGGCTTGTGGCTTACTGATGATTGGTCACTGTCAATTCTCTTTTTCTCTTTTACTGTAGTTCTTCATATTTCTTTTAGTCCGCATGCCTGGGATGCCTCCCATTTTCCTTCACTCTAATTACTGCCTTAGTAAACTGTGTCAGCGAGCCAAAATAGTTTTGATAAGGGGTCCGGCTGCTTTTGCATCTGTAATTTGATGGGTTTCAGTGGGGACACATGAAACCATTCATCAGAGGGTACATGGCCACATCAGAGCCTCAGGGTCGGCTGAGGTTATTTTACCCCCACCCCCCTGGCCCGTGGCCAGCCACATCATTTTGGTAAGCTGCCGATTGAAAATGATCCAGCCTGGTTGAGCTGGTATTCTCTGCCAGGGAAATCTGAGGGCCTGAATTTGTCATGTCTCGTGTTGGGGTTAGATTCCTCAACGTGTGCAGGATATACCCATACTGTGTTCTCTGCTGCTCTGCATGTTTACTGTAGTGGCGTATTTAAGGCTGCACTGCCTTGAAAATTAACTTGCAAAACACTTGTGTGTCTGAAAAACTCTGAATATAAATTTGTACATATAGGGAATTTTATACAAAAGTGTGATTTATTCCTTTAAAAAAGTGAAGGCCTGTGAACACCAGCGTTTAAAACAGCAACATTTTGTAGCAAATTTTGTTGCACCATCCTTTTTTATTTTGGACAAACCCTCCTGTACTACAAATGAGGAAAGATGGGCAGGTAACATCGAGACTGGAGTCAGGTACAAATACAACCTGTGCATGAGCTTAATGCTCTGTTAGCGATGGATCTAACAATCTTGCTAGCAAGGGCATTAGGTTGGTCCCGGCTGGCTAGGGAACACTAGCTAGTAGCAACACTAGTT